GCCCGCTTTGTCCGCCGCGGCGGCACAGCCGGGAGCAGCCGGGAGCCGCCCCCGCGCCTGGGCCAGTGCAAAGCTCTGCCCCTCAGGCTGCCCTGAGCAAAACGCGGCGTCCTGCTCAGCGACCTTCCTAAGGTCAAGCTCAAGGCCTCTCCTAGAAAACGCAGTTTCCAGCCGCCCAGGTGAGGGGACAAGGCTCTGATGCGTCACTGCCTTTAGGGCCCTTCAAGACTGGACAAGGTCTAGCTCGGGCCGCTGAGCACCCGCAGTTTCAGCACAGCCTTTCAATCCTACCAACACTCCATTCACGAGAAGAAGCCTTGCCATGTATGTGACCACCCAACCATTACACTAATGGAGTCCCTCATGACACAACGCATTGCCCAACACTCCGCACATCAGCCTCTGCTCTACACAGATGAAGAGCAAGTGCCTCAAGTATGAACTGTTGGCCAGGTTGCTGCTATCTGGCTCAAGTGTTGGTACCATAAAATACTGCTTTCAAACATACTATTCCATTTACCCTGATTTAGCTACTCCCACAAGGGTCCAACTCCACAGATTTCACTGGCATTAATTACTGCTTTTCACAAGACAGGAATTTTTCACAGATTGAAAGAAAAAGAAAGGAAATATATTTGAGAAAACAGTTATGCTTCTTCATGAGGCTGATGCGTAGGCTGGCAGTGGACACTATGCACTGGAAACGGGAAAGTGTTCCAAAAAGCGGTATCTTTTTAGAATATAGCCACTACACTCTTTCACAGCATTTAGAAATAATAATTTAAGAAGAAATTACTTCATTGGGATTACTCAAAGGACTATTTATAGGATCAAGCCCCAAACTGTTAATCTGTAGATAGTTTACCATTCAGTTGCCTGAAACAAGTGATCCATCAGACCACTAAAGAATTTTGTTGAATGAGGACTTTTCACTGTATGTAATATGTAAGTGCTTTATAGCCTAAGTACAAGATAGTCACTGTTTTAATTGCACAAATTCTTTTACTCAAACTGATTGTGGATCAATCTACCTTAACAACTAGAATTTGTTTGTAGTAAAGGGTATGTATTTCATTACAGAATATAAACTTCAATACTAGACACTCCAGGGAGAAGTCTTTTTTATCAGCCTAGTGAAAAACAAAAAAGGTTTGTTTTTAACATCATCATTCATTCTTGGGCAAAAATCATATCCCAAAGATCAGTGGTAATTCTGAAAGGGAACTTGTTGAGAATCTTTTGCACAGTCATAAGTGTTGATACTTGAATCTGCATTTCTCTGTGGCTGGCACATCTCCATTCTTTCCACCACAGTCCAGCCTAGAAATTAGTCAGAAAAATATTCAAAACTACCATATTCAATACTTTATCATCAATGATCAATATTTTCTGATAAAATGTAGTCTCCAACAGCTCTACTATACAGTTAGGTTGCAATGTATAATTCAATGGAAATTAATGGCATTTTCA